TTTTGGGAGCATGGAAGAATAATGTGCCCTAATGCAGGGCAGGGTGTGACTGTAAATGAGGCAATTCTGCAAAGCATCGTGCCTTGTGATGAGATTTCAGGCATGTCCAACTTTCTGTCTTCAGTAGAATTTGTGTTGTGATTTTCCACTAGGTGTTTCGGAACTGAAATAAACACGGTCTCATGCCCACACGTCACCTTTGCTCAGTATAATTCCATACCCAGGAGAGAGGGACGGTGACATGCCTTCTCAGCCCAGTCTGCCAGGGAGAGTTAAGTCTGTAAGATTCCACGTTCACTGGATGTGTAGTTACAGCAAGTGCTTGACTTAATGAGCCCACTGGGGAAACATTTCAGCCTCTTATTGGAAAAAGGCCTTCAAAAATAACAGGGCAAATAGTTCCAGGTCTCTGTGACCTGAAGCGTCTAATTAAGCTAAAGAATTACTAGTGCATCTTTGAGAAAACTGAGGCTGTGCAGCGTGATGAGTCAGTGGGGATGCACTGCCATGTGGTTAGAGAACAGTGTGGCTTAGCTGTGCCCCGGGTGTTGGTGGCATTCGACAAGGACACACTCTGCACTTACATACTTCTAACCCAAGTTTATTTGTGATGTTTCCACCTTATGGAAAATGACAAAGTCCAAACACCAATAAAAGGACAGTGAAAGCAATCATTGAGAGAAAGATGGCACGTGGAGAGTTAGAGGCACAGCTGGGACATAAAAAATACAGTAATGATTTCAAACACATGAATGTTCTTGGTACGTTCATCCACGGGGCACATATATGAAGGAGGATATAGTTGCAGGAGAGAGACAGGACTGGCAGAGGATGTATGCAGTTTCTGAGCAGATCCCAAATTTATCTAGCATGCATACACTGCCCTCTCGTGGTCAAGTCTGCATTTCCATATGAATGATGAATAGTTCTTAAAAATTAAAGTTGGGCAACCAGGTACCTGATATTATGAGAATAACTCATTTTAAGCATTTGATTGAATTTTCTATAGTTATAAAAGTTGAATGGATCATCTTAGAGGTGCTCCAGTTTTATAAGCTTTTCCGTCTTTGGCAGTGGCTCCAAGGAACACATGGTAAACTGCATCAGGCTGAGACCCAAGCTGTCCTTTTGAGGGCTAGGACATCTTGTCAGCAGATGTCCATTTGATCCTCAGGAGAATAACACACATGACATTTAGTGAGCAGTAAATAAGAGTCAAGTAGAAAATGTGGACTTTAAAAAAAGATTTATTTTATTTTTTTAAAAAAGATTTGTTTTATGAATTCGAGTACACTGTCGCTGTCTTCACACCACAAAAGGGCATCAGATCCCATTACAGATGGTTGTGAGCCACCATGTGGTTGCTGCAAATTGAACTCGTGACCTCTGGAAAAGCAGTCAGTGCTCTTAACCACTGAGCCTTCTATCCAGCCCTTGACTTATTTATGTATATGGGTATTTTGCTTACATGTGTGTCTTACACCAGAAAAAGGCACCAAATCCATGAGACTACAGTTATAGACATTTGTTCGCCTCCATGTAGGTGCTGGGAATTTAACTCAGGACCTCTGGAAGATCAGCCAGAGCAGACCCATCTCTCTAGCTCCCCAGGTGACCCTTTGTAGTTCACTTGAGAGAATGACGCTCAACCTGATAAGTTTTAGAGATTCTTTTGATTTCCTCCCTGACTAATGGTTTTCAAAACAAAATACTTCCATGCATGTGCTGGTGGCTCATTTCTCGTTTTTAACTGGCATTCCACCATTGTTCTCAAGCACATCGTAATTTGCTTATTGTTTCCATTTTTTTATGCACATGAACTTATCTCCCATTCTCAGCTGTACACTCATGGTTGTATGCATTCTCTAGTTCTATCCTTCTACTGTGTAACTCTTTAGGATCTAACTCAGGCTGTCAGGTTTGACGGCAAGCATCTTATTTACTCTTGAGTCAACTTGCTGGTCCACTACGGCTCTGTGATAACTAGAGAGGTTTTAAAGGTTTTCCATTCGAACAGCTCTCATACACCATATAATTGTATGTGAGGTATTGTTAACAGATGCCAAGAAATTGTAAACTCTCTTGATTTTGTAATGACTTAATGACTATTTATATCAGTGATGGGAAACTACAAGATGCATAGAAATTCTGTCTGGTGAAATCAGGAGGCTCGTGTACTTAGGGAGAGTTAAGAGGGGTTTGAAGACAAGAAACCTGTGATGGCTGGTGATGGGGAAGTTCCCTTATCTGTGACAGTGCTGATGAAAAGGTAGATTTCAAGTGCATTTTCGAGTTTGCAGTACTTGAAAGCATGGCAGGCATGGTCTGGGTGAAACCGGAAGGCTCGAAGGAGCAGAGAAACAGACACAGGAAAATATACACCCATTCTGGAAAAGGAGACCTTCCCAGTGTTCTGTCTTGTCCAAAGGTTCTGACAGAGAGCTGTAAGTGCCCATGCGCTAGCTTTAGAAGGGATGTGCTGGAGACATAGCAGAAGTGTAAACAGGCTGACTGTTCACACCTGCCCCTCGGTCATTTTATGGCTCTGAGAATGTACACGGTAACCTTGCACACAATTGACTTATGCTGCCAGGACACCCAGGGCTGTTTTCCTCTTCATCCACATTAGTTTATTTTCCACCCAAAGGCTCAACTTCATTGTCTGTACCCAAGAGAAGTCCTGTGCCCTCCTGCTCCAGGTTTTTTAAAATCTTTTAAAAAATTACAAAAGACAAAAAATACAAAATGTGTCAAAATATACTAAAAAATGTGTCATAAATAACAAATGGTAAGTACATGATTGCTTAATGCAAACACCTTTTCTCTCCCCCCTCCCCCACATTGACATACCAATCTCCTTCCAGGTCCCAAAAACCATCTCTATGAGTTTGACACATTGTTTTTGTTTATTGTTTCTTTTTTTGAAGCAGGGTTTCTCTGTGTATAACTGGCTGTCCTGGAACTTCCTCTGTAGAACAGAGAAATCTGCCTGGTCCTACCTACCAAGTGCTGGGATTAAAGAGGTGCACCGCCACCAACTGGTGACACATTGTCTTTTAATGTTTATATAAATATACATATGGGTTACTTTGATCACTAGCAATTTTCTTTAAGGGTATCATGCTCTACACAAGGTTGTACAACTTACTTTTTTCAACTCAATGTGACTTTTAGCACCAACAGGTAGTCAGTCACACTAATCGAACTTAATCAGGAGTAAAGACCCATTAGTAATTCAAAGGAAATGCTGTATTGCTAAACCCAAGATTCCTTATTTTCTGTTCTGAGTGTGTCGCAATGTGAAGATCAGCCTTACTGGGTAGCTCCTTCTACTTTATGCAGTTTTGTCTGTGGACACAAGGGGGCAGGAGCTCTTTGGTACAAACATGGTTGTCACTTTCATTAAGGTGCAATAGAAAGCACAACTCGAAGAGATCAAAACAGCAGAATCTGGCTATACCAGACAAGGGAAATAAAAATCTCAAAACCTCACCTCTGAGGGTGAGTGCACAGAGTGGAGATTGTAAACTGCTCTGTTAGGTTAACTGGCAGGAGGGGAGAGACAAAAACAGATAGACAGACAGACAGGCAGGCAGGCAGGCAGGCAGGCAGGCAAGTAGACAGATACTAAAACCTACATCAAGATGAACATACAGAAACCAGGGCAGAGAGAATTGGAAGCCTTTCCCCACTAGGCTGCCTCCAACATGTGGAGCTATGTCCTTGATTAGAAAGGGTCCTGTGGCTTCTACCCAGCACTGTTTGAGCCTTCCCCTCAGCTCACTAGCCCACACTAAAGAGAGTGCTTCACCATTCCTAATAGCCACATGGCCCTGTTTCAAAAGACACAGAACCTGGCAAATGCTATCAAGTGTGCTAGGACTCAGATCTGCCCCTATAATGTAACTGTGAACAGTAAATTGTTTGGCAACCATTTTGGAAAAGCTTGTTTCTCTCATAACACTTTTTTATTTTAACATTGTAGGCATTGCTTGGATTGCTTGGGGTAGAATAAGGGCCCCTTTTTTTCTTTTTTTGTTTTTTTCCATGCAATTTCCTTACTTCCTATTTAAAATTGGCAACTTTTACAAAGAATAATTAAAGGATACCCACCATGAAATTCTAAAATATATCTAAAGTAGAAAAAATAGCTTTTTTGTCATAAGTTTATTCAGAAGTTGTCATATTATCACAATTTAATGACATTTCAAGTAAAAACTGAAATCGATAAAAGACATTATTATTATCAGATATTATTTGTGTGAACAATTTAATGAGAAGGGACTCCAGTGATGTTTCTGATTTGGCCAGACAAAATATAATTGAGTTAAGGGTGGTTAAGTCCTGTAGTTTTCGTAAGCTGTAAGTTTTCCCTATCTGTAAACTTTGTTTCCCCCTGATTAACATGTAGTAACAATAGCAAACAAGTTTAGAGTGTTTGTCAGACAAGGAGATGTTTGGACAAAGGAATTCAAGACACATCCTATCATTAACCCCCTTTCACAGGAAGCACGCCATGCCCAGAGCTCAGGTCCAAAGCCACATAATTCAGCTGGAGCATCTGAGGTTTAAGCCTAGGCAGGTGCAGGATGCTATTCTGTTGCTCCAGCACAGCAAGGTACTGCAATGCCAGGAAAGAATAGGTAAAAGGCACAGCCAAACACCATTATTATATTAAGGGTGCAGAGAACATGGCAGTGAGCAATGTGCTGGCAGGCTTTTTCCTAAAAGAATAAAATCAATACACTTGCTACATTCTTTTGTCTCCTGGAAATCAATTAAAATAGGATCCAAACAAACACTTCCAGTTACAATGATTTTTTAAAGTAACTGTGTTTAAGGACAAAAAAATAGGTGTGCAGTCGAACAAATCTGCTTCCTTAAACTGAACCTGATGAACTAAAACTTTTATTTTAGCAACCCTAGAACGTGTCCAAATCTGGAACCATGCACACAAGTATGTGTTTTTGTAAACGTACATATGAGTGGTGGTGACTTGCTCTCTGAGGATCGGTTTTATTTGGAATAACTATCAAACCATTTTCAGCTAAGAAAGGCAGGCAATGTTAAGAGCCGAGCAATATTAAAATAATAATTTTTGGCTAAAAATAATGAACTGGCCTTTTAAACATTCAGGTATCAACGATGACATTTACTTTTTTTTAGCAAAGAGGCCGATATCTTTGAATTTATATTCCACAAGGTATGCCTGTGTTCCTTCCCTCAACCAAGAAAGTATTTATTTTTGCTCCTCTTTACAAATTATAAATTTGGATGATAATTTCCTTTGTACAAACTCCATCCTATTTTCTGGATTATATTATTAAATAGACACTGATGAAGCCAGCACCACCAGACTGGATGATCCAGCATGCCTTTGAGCCAGCCAGCGAGGTCCTGCCTTAACAGCTCATCGGAAGGAGTTTTCATACATGCTGAACGGAAACATGGTCTCTCTCTTCGTTCTCACGTCTGTGGGGTAAACAGTCATTTATCCATTCATTCCCAGAGTGGTAGCGCTCCGCTGCTCTGCAGCTTAGCTGTCCACAGTGTTGGCTTGTGTGGCACAGGCCTTCTCCTAGCCGCTGCTGCCATGTGCTGGTCTTGCAGTGAGTAGCTAAATTTTAGAAAAAGCGGTGCACAAGGCCCCAGTCAAGATGATGCAGAAAGCAAGCATCAGCAGTAAGTAGTTTCGGAGACCCTGAGTAATAAAAACAAGAAAGGTTGCATTGAATAACATTGAATCGAATTTAAATTTACAACACGTATATTTTAAAAAGACTGTCATGGATTATGGATCTTTACTGCATCATATGCTCTGGCTATTTGTGTGCTCTCTCTCTCTCTCTCTCTCTCTCTCTCTCTCTCTCTCTCTCTCTC